GCTAGTGCTTTCGCCATTCTGAACGAAAGTCTATTTAATTTTTTGGTCTTAAGAATAAAAGCTAAACGCTCAGCTACACCTCTAACAGGCTTTACTAACACCAAACTGAAGGGTTACAGGAAAAAAACCATGGGTGTTCTTTTGGTTTGTTGGGCTTTTTTCCTATTATTGGTTTTGGGTTTGGTTTTTTTTTTTGCTTCTCAGTGCATACAGCCAAAATATTTAACTGTCAATACTAACTGCAAATAAAATAAAATAGATTCTCCTCCACACTATGGAGGTGCCTGGAGTTAATCCAGTATACATACAGGAAAGCATGTTCATCCACCACTGTGCCTAAAAACAAAGCCTGTATTGCCTTTCGACCCTTAGGTGTTTTAAGTAAACTTGCAACTCATGGAATGATCAGAGCCTGAATCCATTTGCTGCCAGACATTAACTATAGCCACCTTAAAATAGACATAGCTAGGTCTTATCCTGAAACTGTGTCCTATAATTCTGATTATACACAGCTTTGTATTCTGAAGGTTTGAAACCAATGAGTATACCACAGTTTTGTTCCTTGACTGAAAGGTTAACTGACCTCTGCAACAGCCAGTCTGATTTTCTGGGGTGGATGCACGTTTTCCAGAAATACTATGGGACCTTTTATTTTTTCCCAGCTCACTCAGGATGTTCACATAAATGAACATATGGTGGTTAACATACTTAGGGACATTAATGAATAAACACTGCATGCCCAGAGTTAAAAATGAGACTCAGATAAGAGTGATCAAAAGAGCTTAAAAGAGCAGCATTTTGCTGTGTAACCTGTGGCAATATTGTGAACACATCAACAAAAGCCATTTAAAGCTTAAGAAATACTTCTGGGGCTCTTCAGTGCAGAGATGTGCACTCATTTTTTTCAAAGCATGTATAAATAACCTCTATCATAGAAATACAGGCATCACAGCTATTACTTTCCAGTTTCCATACTCATATCTTGAGGTTTAAAAAAAAAAAAAAGCAAACAAACCCCAAACCTAGTGCCAGTTCACAAGAAGTCAACTTTTTTGCCCTTACATATGTTAAGTAGTACCTTACTCCACAAATATTCCCATTTGAGTCAATGGGACAAATTGCTGAGTAAGGTTCTTCTAATTTAAGAACTGATATGCAAATTTCTCCAAAATTACTAACTCCATGTCTATGTAGTTCAATTTTGTATAAAGAAGAGAGACCTTTTTTTTCTTATTTAAACAAAAGAGATATATCAAAATCATAATGCCCCAAAATCATAACGGACTGCCCACTGATATCAATAAGAAATGGTTTGAACCAGCCATGGTCACTCTGTATTTGGAGTAGCTATAAAATACTAATTTGGTGTAATAGCAAAACAATATTATGTTAGAGAACTTAAGCAATTTATATTGTTTCTGTTCCAAAATAAAACCTACATACCTTCTTTAAAGTGATAATCTTTATTTAATGTGATACATTTTAAATGTATTTGGTGCAAATGCCTTGCATTTTTTTCAATTTTGCAAAATATCTCATCTCATCTGATTTAGAAAATGTATATAAAAAAAAAGAATATATCCTTGAAGGATACTAGATGAAAAAAATATTAAATAAGTATGTAATGGAAAAAATAAGCTTTATACCATCTTGAAAAGTACATGTTATCTGAGCTGCAGTGATATTATATGCTATAACTAAGATTGCAAGCTTGCTTTCATGTAGTATGTAGCATGCGGAGTCTATGTTTACAACATTCAATGCCTTTTGTCAATCAAGAAGAAGTGCCTGGCTATCTAAAGAAGCAGGATGGGAAATTAGCTGACAAAAGGCATCCATCTCCAGCAGACGGTACTGAAGTGCTAAGGAGTGCCAGTTGCTGGAATCTCGTGTGAGCGAGCGTCAGCCTTTGCTTGCAGCACAACACAGCTGCACCTGCAGACCTCTTGACTGAGATATACGGTATCTCATTCATTACAGTGCATTTTGCTAAATAACTACAGTTTGGGAAATTTTACTTTGGGATCACAGTAAATAAGAATGAAGAATTTTTATTGCATAACACACTGGCTTTTTACCTAGGTGAAATCATATAGAGTACAAGCATCTCATATAGTGCCTGTTCGGTTTATAAGTCTAGTATTTTTCGAAAGTGTCTGTCAGAATGTAAAAACAACAGTGCCCAAACTGTGATTTCCTGACTACCTGTGGCCACTAGACCATAACCAGAGACCTGCAGCTGGTCTGCAGAGCTCTATTGCCTTCTAATTAAAAGCTTGGTAACAAGAGTGTTTGGCAACCCCAAGAAATATGGATGCTGACAAAATCCCATTCACCCAAACAGTTCAGGAAACTCTTCTGTAATAAAAAATAATATTGGCACTTAAACTTAGACTTTTTATATGTACTAGTAGGGATATGATACCATGTACCACTACTCTAATTCACTTTGCAAATTGTATTTTAATACTGTACAGTGAGATTCCAAAGGCAAGTTTATTCATATTATTCATAGGAATAAGTGAAATAAATACATACCCAGAACTAGATTTATCAAAAATACTTTCTCATTCCTATTCTTTAGGAATATATACAATTGGTGGGCTGGAAAAAAGTCCATTTTGGTCCATGCCTTCCTCTGAGTTAACAGTTGTCAATGTTTTTCTTCCTCTCGATTATTTGCCTTGTTTTCATCTTAAAACAAACAGGAAAAAAAAATCTCTAGCTGCTTCTCTTTATGACCTTTGTTATGCATTTGGCAGTTTGTCAAATAAACTTCTTGCCAAATCATTTTGTTCTCATTTTGCCTTGGCTAACATTCAATGCCCTGTCTCTTATTTCTGCCACTAGTTCAAATAGTTTTAGATCATTATTTATCTCTCCTCTCTGCCAGAGCTTCATGCACACCAGTGACATTCCCTCTAACTCTTTTTCCCTTACGAGGATGACAGATCCAGTTTATTTAAAGTTTTTATTAGATCTTTCAGTCTCTTTATCTTTTGCTGAGCTCTGCTCCACCTTTTCTATTATGAGCTTTAGATAATAAAGACCAGACTGTGTTGCTCTTCCTTGTGCTCAATGTACATTTCACCAGAGTGATCACATGCAGTCAACAAAGATTGCTTATGGAGTAAGGTACTACTCAATTCAAGATTCACAATCTGCCTTGAAGTGATCAGGACTATACACAATATTCCAAGTTCAGAGAGGTAATTTCCTCTGCTTTCAAGTACATCTCTACTTACGTGGCTTACAATGTTATTATTTAGCTTTTGCTTCTGATTAGTTTTATTTGAAAATAGATATTTTTAACCCACCTGTAGCATGCTGGTTTATATTTAGTCCCATTGATGATTCAGTCCCATATGTTGAGCTTCTTAATGTTACAAATTAAGCTAGGCTTAGAGCTAATCTCATTTTAGTAACCACCTCAAGTCCCCTTACCTCCACACTGGTATAACAGGGAGTCGTAGTCCTGCTTCCTTTGCAGTCAACTTTGAGACTTCATATAAATGCCATACAAAAAAGGACAGGTCCAGCAATTGTGCCTACAAATGCCCTGCTTTACTTTTTTTGGCATATGTTTTTATTTACTCTTTTCCAATCAATTAGTGTCTCTTTGTTCATGGTTTTATTAAAAATTGCAAAAAGTTTCTCTGTCTCTTTTAATGTCTGTTATAACTCTAGGACAGGCCCTGATAATATCAGCATTCTTAATACAATTTAATTTCTTAGACCCCTGATTTCCTTCAGTATTTTTTAATGTACATATGACTAATTCTGATACCCCTAATATGTTCTGATATTCATTAAATTTTCTGCTGCAGGCAAGAAAAGAATGCATATCCCTTTTCCAGTCATACCTATTATTTTACTGTGTGTCAGACAGAGTAGTTACAATTTTCTATAGCTTCTTAATTTACTCCAAAACTTTATCAGAAGTAGGGCAAACCACTACACATTTTTGTCTATTCTCACCTCTCATATTTTTATACTTATGCAATTGCCTTTGTATTCTACAACAAAAGTTCTATGATTCTATTGAGTTCCTTCTGTGTTTCAAATTAATTCTTAATTATTCAGCCACTTAGAACCACTTTTGTTTATTTTATAGTTATTACTAAATGGTATACATAGTCACAGGGTTAAATGCATTTATCTTGGACCACTCCTCATTCCAGCCTATTCTCTCTGTTTCTCAGCACAATTTTCTTCCATTTCACTCTGTCACCCACCTTGTGTGACCTTTCAAAAATAAGAGGAAAATCTGCCATCTCTACATCATGACAACCAAGCCCTCTTTCTTTTAAATACAGTAGAAGTAAATATTTGATCAGACTAATCATAAGGATACTGCTCATTTGACTCCTTTCAAATCAAGCATATGTAAATAGCTATGCATGTAAGTACACAAGGAAATAACAATTCTGAGAAGTTCTCTCTTCTTTCTCCCATTTGATTTTGTATTGGTTAGCCATGGATGCTTTATTCCATGGAGCAGCATAACACACTTGGCAGTTAGGGAATAAACAGATCACCACAAGTGCACATTTTGATGTATATTTCGAAGGAACACATTCCAACTTTCTGTGTAGAAAGAGTGCATAACAGTTTTGTTGGCTGGGACCTGTGGGGCACATGCAGTTCAGAAGGTCTGCCCCTGGCAGTGTTTCCAGACAACCACCTCTTATACAATGTGCATAAATTGCTCTGCTGGCCTGCCCCAAGCACTCCCTGCCTAGACCTCTTCCATCCTTCTCACCTTGCATGGCATCAACTTTGAGTTTAGCTCCATTCACTTTAACCCTGAATGCCAGCGCATTTTTATTTTTCAAAATTAATGTGTGTTAAGTAGCTTATCCCCTCAAACCTTAGGTTATCCTTTCTAGTGCATTGTGGTATATCAAATGCTGGTAATGACAAGGGCATGAAAACATATATCTTCCAATTAGATCTCAAATGTTATTTTTTAAAGCACAAAAGGTTTTAGAAAAAAAGTGTCAGCTTCCATTGGTTATTATAACAGATGTACCCTTGTGTCCTTGTGCTGGATCTTGCTGCATCCTTAAGTGAGAAGTCACATCAAAGTGTGAGCCATTACAGCCTAGTGAATAGTTTCTAATGGTTTCAGTGTCATATAGATGCTCCAGGGCATATCCAGTTAATGTGTAAGCATGCTTATCAAAGTACTGCCTGTGGGAGCTGTAATAATCTGGAGAGGCTGCTGGGTGCTCCCCCGAGGTTTGATGAGGGGACATATCTGAATGCAGGTAGTCTTTAGCTAGTACCGTGCTAGATTTTGATATTCGGTCAGAACTGGGGCTGCTTATCCTAGACAGTGTTGTGGGGCTGTTGTCATAGTCATTTTCATGAGGGCTCATAATCTTTCCATCTCGCTGTGGGATGTGCTCACAGGGAGGAGTGTTGGCAACTGTTGGGATGCGGCAAACATCTCCTGCCATCTGCTGCTGAGGGTAGTTTGCAAAACAGATAGCATGCTTCTTCCCTGTGCCATTAATGGAGACCAGTGGATCAGGGGTCGTTTTCCGCAGCTGTAGTCTGTTTTCTTCCTCTTTAATCATTTGCTGGGTAGCTCTTATTAGAGTTTCAATTTTGCTGGGCTCATGTGGACTGCTCTGATATTGCTCAGGACGGTATCGGTCACCTGATTCACTGGCAGAGCCAGGATCGGGTGAGCTAACGACACTGTCCTCATCCCAGTGTCCTCTTCCTAGGAAAGAAAGAAAGGGGACAAGTGTTGAGGTTGGAAGAGGCAAGTAATCTTGAAGAACAAGTACTCTGAACCTTGTTTTACAGACAGAAAACCAAGACAGAGGCAAGTGGCTTGTAACAAAGTCACCAAAAATGACCGGTGTACATGACTCCAGCATGTCTTCTCTGTCCTTTCCAGAACCTAAAGTATAGAGAAGGAAAGCACTGTGGAATAGTTTGTGGTCCCATGGTGACTTTATGCAGCTTACACAACAATAAACAAACAGAAGTAACAAAGCAGTTATTCTTCTTTAGAAGCATAAGAACACACAGCTGTTCGACAAGGTTACTGGGAAAATGTGATATCATATCCCAGCATACAAATATTTGATGTATAAAACTTTTAGAGTGGGAAAATATAACTATTCTTACCTCTTTTTTAAAAATAGGGCCCATAGAAATACCACAGAAGGTGTTCAACTTGTATGTAGCTGAAAGGATAGAATTGGACCTGCCAATCCTCAATAGGAAGAAAGTGAGTGACTCCCACATCTGAACAGCCAACTAAGGCCACACTATAATAAAGGGCTTGATAAAAGATTTCCTGAGATACATGCCTGCAGGAGGGCATGTGTTGGACTTGCACAAATTACTTAATGCTGCCTTTCCTTCAGCACACACAGTCTTCTTTAGGGATGAGGCTCATTGAGTTGGTCGACCGGACTCCTCAAAGGAAACCTCTTTATAGACTAGCATGAACAACTTCCCCTGCTTTGTGTTGAGTCAAGGTGTGTAAGTCCATTTGGGTGGCAGATCACTTCTGCTGCATTGCAGAGTTCATGACAAAATCAGTGATGGACTTTTGTAATGATCATACAGGGCCCTTTGTAGGTGGAACTACTGCAGTGTGAACATAATTTTATCCTTCAAATCCTCTTAAGGTCTAGGCCTAAAATGTCAGGAGCTGGACATAGAAGGGAGCTCCAGCTGCCAGAGCAATGCGGTATGTCAGGCACACCATGACACGCTAGGGAGCTGCTCAGCCACGGCTTTACACTACGTGCTCAGTTTTTCTCACTGCACAGACCATACCTACAGTGCCCCAGACTTCCTGAGGTTGACAAGAAACATGTGGGCTCATACGCAATATCCAGGGCCTGCGATACTGCTCAGCTAATTATTATTATTGTAAGGTGGCTCTGAGCCAGAATTACCAGAAGATGCATTAAAAGAACAGAAAAGGAAGAAAATGTTATCTGCCCAACAAAACTACTCTGATAGCAATGTTCACATAGCATTGTCAAAAAGAGTTTCATAGAATCATAGAATAGTTAGAGTTGGATAAGACCTTAAAGATCATCTCATCCAACCCCCCTGACATGGGCAGGGACACCTTCCACTAGATTACATTGCCCAAAGCCCTGTCCAACCTGGCCTTGAACACTTCCAGGGAGGGGGCATCCACAACTTCCCTGGGAAACCTGTGCCAGTGTGTCACCACCCTCAACACCCTTCCAGTTGTGAAGGGCCGAGGTTTGAAACTGCCTACATCTAAATGAAAACGGCACATTTGCAAGGAAAGCAAGATGTTCCTCTTCTCAATTGAGATCAACATGTCAGGTTTTACCCCTAAAGCTACATGCAGACCGAAGGCCCACTGAAACATGTTAAGACTTATTACAGTAAAAAAAGTAACTGCAGCACCTGGAATTACAGCAAAACCAAGGAACAAATTAAAATGAGATTACATTATCCATTTACATTAATTATCCTTGATGAAATTATGAAATAGAAACTTAACACAGCATGTGTTTCTCTATATATTTCTACATTATTATCTTTCTATGCTCAGTAAGAATTATCATGCATAACACTTGCCAGCAAAAATATCATATTCTGCTCAATTCTCTTTTTTGGAGAAGAAAAAGCTAGAGAAACAAAGACACAGAACAGATACAAGGAAGGAGGTGTGTTCTCATAGGAAAAGTGGAGAACAGTACTCATCAGCAAAATTTAGACATCCTTTTCTATCTTCACTTTTCTTCTGACCTTTATTCCTAGAACTTGCTAATTAATCATTGTTCTAATCTTAACAGAATTTTCCTCAGATTTAAGTAAAATAGTACAGGGTTTTTTTTATTTCCAAACCCTCATTCTGCAAGTCAATTGAATAGTAAATAGATTTTATCAGTTCTTCAGATATAACCTATGTTTTGACAGATTATTTTAGTAGACAAGCTTTTTTTTTTTATATAATGCTGTATCTATCCTTACAACTTAAACTCTGATTTTTGGGATCAGTTGCAGTCTTTCAACTCTCAACCTACCCTTTAAACTCAAGGACTTCTGGATTTTCCCAAATCCAGATCAGCCTTTCACTGTGAATTTTTTGATCAGACTCTTAAGATGTGCAACCTACCAGACACCAAGCAAGGCTTCAGGCTTGGTGCTGAAAGGATTGAAAGACTCAAATTGACTAAAAATTTTATCTGGGGATAAATGTCTGAAACCAAAACCAAATGTTAATTTGAATTGCCAATTTTAAATAAAAGTAAATAGCAAAACTTAGAGAATCTAGTAATAAGCAGTGCAGAGAAAAAAAGAAATTTAAAGAAAGTTTTTCCAAAGACTTTAAAAGGTTTTTTTAAAAATACCTAGCTTGGGTTTAGTTCTAACAAATTTTGTGCTAAATAAATTCCATCCAAATTAGTTTGATATTAAGTCAAATAAATAACAGATTTCTATCAAGTGTATAAATTTGTTCACATTTTTAAGATCATCCTTAAGATCTCACCAGTCAGATATTCCCACCTTAATTTCACAGACTAAAAAATGTATAACAAATAATAATTTGCCGTGTACAATCCAGACTGTCAAACTCAAATTGAACTGTAAGTATTCCTCATCTCCATAGATGCAATCTCTGAGACAAGAACACACATCAAGAGTCTCTCTCATTTTCTGCTTCTCACACAAACAGCTGCACATTTATGTCATGTTGTTTTATCTGAGATGGTGCCACTTCTGCAAATCCTTGTTATCTCTTACCATGAATCCTGTGCACTGAAGTTATATGGGGCATGCTGTTTTCATACACTTCTCTGCTCTCAGGGGACGACTTAGTCAGGGGCAATGCTGAACGAGAACTCCACCAGCTCTCCCTTCCTGGCTGCGGCGTGCCAAGGAAATATCGGCCAGCTTCACATCTGCCTCCTTCACAGGCCTGAGTATGGAAATGTCTCTCATCAGTCAGCCTGGAGTGGTCAAGTGTAAACCCATAGCAGAGAGCACTGCGGTCTGAGTACTGTCTGTAGGCACAGGAGACATCATGGTGCTGGGAGCTCGGTCTGTCCACGGGCTCCAGGAGCTGGGGAGAAGCTGTATCGGTCAGGGGGCTCCCTCCCCACTGGCTCTCATGGTCAGACTCGGATCTCTCGGTGTGAAATCCAGAATACTGCAAAACAGGAGAAGCACTGGGGAAATTACCATGCCTGGGAGAAATCTGCAAGTAACTACTCTGAAAAGACAGTGTATGCATGTGATAGGATGTTTTTTGTGAGCGTGCTCACATGTCTGCACCGTCTGATTGGACTCCTAGTCCTTTCCTGTACCACACTCTGTAATGAGCTCACAGATGACAGGACAGGCCTCATGAAAGTCTGAAACATCCCATGTTGACCCTTAACAGCCAGATCTTTTATGATGTGTAATATTAGGTTCAGAAACATCAACGTTGCAATTCAATATTTTTTTAATATGTCCAGGTTTTTCTTGTTGCTTTGAAAGCTAGCACTGATGCTCAGCAACGGGGCTCCAATGCTCCTCGGCAAAATGTTTTCAAAAGGGACTGCAATAATACCACCCCTGGAGCATTCTCATGTCAGATATATTCATACATTGAAACTGAAAGTATTTCTTTTTCTACGGGTTCCCTCTCTTTTCCTTATATTTTTTTTGTTGGTGGATTTTTGTTGCTTACTTGGAGTGATACCTTGGAACTTCTTTCCTCCTATTAGTAGGGAACAGAAAGCCTCCTGTAAATCCTGGGACTATCAACGCTACTACAGAGTAAAGTTCCAAAGTGGTGGTAGATTGGTAGGAAGCTAAAAATCACAGTTCTGTTGCAATGTGGGAACAAGGGAAAACCAGGAGCTATTTACAAGAAAAGGTGACTGCTAGCCAAAGCAGGCAGAGTGGGCATTTGGCACCCTCATGTAAGCAGGGCCCTCCCAACACAGAAGTAGCAATCAACAGGCAGCTAGAAAAGTAGACAGAATAGGAGCAAGGGCATTTGTTTAGAGAGAAGTGAGGATTAGGTTAAATGTCACAGATTCTTAGATATTCATAATGAATGTTTCAAACTTTTAGATACTTTTTGGGAAATTAAAAAAAAATAATTATTATTAAACCTCTTAAGATTTAGCTATCTCATTTTAGATCTTTTTATTTATTGGAACTGTCGAACTTCATGGAACATCTTTAAATCAATTTCACCCATGATTATGGATTGGGATGAGACCAAAGCTGCACATGCTCACCTCTTCAGTACTGCACACTCATGTCACAAATCAATGTATTACAACATGAAACCTTGGAATTCTTCCATTCCATCACTCACCTTCCAGATGCTCAGTCTGCCTTTTCTTTTAATAGGCATTAGGTCTCTCTCCTGAAAACATAAGCTTACCTTCCTTTTCATTTGATTGAGTTGCTATGAAACTCCTCATTATCAGCCAAGATCAAGGTTTTATGCACTTACGAATCGAAAGTACTGACCAGATGTTTGACTTACACCAACTTAAACCATCTGTGCAACATCAGTAGTGGAACTACTTCAATTCTGACATTTAATTGGGTATTTCTTCAGTATTACAGTTTATATTTAGGAATACTATTTTTTAACACGATAGATTATTTAAAGGAAAGAAAGGGTCATGGCTTTGAGGAGTTTGATTATATTTTGATATTAGTTGTCAGAAGAATGTCCATAGGTAAAAAGCCTACCAGTAGATACGGAGGAGCTCAGAAAGTTAGTACCAACATATTCATTACAAAGTTTTAGAGATGAAAAGATAGATCTGATTTTGCATAGAGGTAAGATAGTTATAGAGCCACAAAAGACTTCTTTTAAATGCCAGTAACTCGTCATATGTTATTCAGGAACTTTAGTCAGCCATCACAGTGTTATGTGACCAACTGGAATGTCTAACTCATCTATTAAATTTCTTCAAACTGCTCAGTCACAAAGATATCTTCATAAACACCAACTGACTTATTGTAAATTTTTGACAAAAATAGATAGATAAAATAAAGTTTACCATTTAAAAAATACAAATTATTAAAAAGATTTTTACTAATAAATTTTAGTTAAAATGAAAATTCACAAACGGAAAATTACTTTTGCACCTGTTCTTAATTTTAGAATTATTTTTAAAATTCTTTCTGGATTTGACTTTTATAAACTAGAGTTTTTAATTTAAAAAGTTAAGCTGAAATATAAGATAATGTAAGCATAAATACAAGTATTAAAAAACTTAAAAGTTCATTTATTTTCTTATTAAAAACAAAACTCATAGTAAGTATTTATTTCATAAGGAGGACAAAGAAAATTAATTTCTAATAATATTATAGTGAAATTCATTTTTTGACATTTGGTGATTATAATAATGCCAGAGATTATTTCAAACTCAAAATTCTTAATTTAATTTACCTCTAATTTATATTTTTCTATTAATTTTCTGTTTCTAAGGATGCCTCAGGCCCCAACATACCTTCACTTGAAGGGAATTTCTCTGTTTAACTGAAAATTTGCTCATTTTTTTATAATCTCAATTCAATTACACAGACCTTCATGCACTTTTCTTAAAGAAAGGGAAACTATTTCAAATGGTATACCAGAAATGCACAATGTAATGTCATATAACCATGTAGTCAAGACCAACAATACTTCATGCATATTCTTTGTACTCGATGTAAATGATGATTATTTGAGATCTGACCTGTAGCAGCTGCTGGACAGAACTAAATTTACATAATGAATAGCTTGTGGTTCACATTTTCTAGCAAGTTTTGATATGACTGCTTATACTTAATGTACAACATAAGCGGACACAGGCCAAAAATATGTTTAATTCCCTTTAAATCTAATCATATCTTTATTTGGCATCATTGTGCTGCTTCTACTGCTGGAGTCCTACCACTGCCTCTTCTGGGAATCTCATGTTGACAGGTGTAGACTCCAAATACAGACAAGTGTGACATGTTGACAGGGGGAGAAATGGAAAGATGATCAAAGATACTGCTTTGCTGAAATGAGAGTGGAAACACTACCTCTCAAGTCAGAATTAGGTTCTCATGTGTCAAGTGGTGAAAGACCATAGAAAATGGAATCAGATTTAATGAAAATTATGGCAAATTAAAGTTAATGATTTCTTTTTTCCAATCCCAATCTTTCCTCATCAGAACTACTTTCCTTTCTGCCTCTTGACTCCTAGCAGGCAGAATTTATGGGTTTTGGTTTCTTGGCAAAGTTTAACCAGCAGACAGAAGTTAGACTTGACAAAGAACTTCAGACAAGCAACATCTGAAATCCCTTCAGGTGATTTCTGAATTGTCTTCTGGCATAAACAACATCAATAAATAAATTAAATTGCCCTCCAGCTGGTTTCTGGAATCTGAATTGCCACATCCAGATACTAGAAATGTCTTCCAGACTGCTAATCCAGCGTACCATCACAGCACACCAGCGGCATTAGCACTGACACAGAAAGGGGCTATAGGCCATCACTAATGCTTTTTTCATACAAAGAAAAACTTCAGGAGGGCTGAAGGGGCAAGGAAATAGGAAAATATAAATTCCATGTTTAAGAAAAGCTTACTTTCCAAGAGCCCATAGAAGTGTATTAGGTCAGTAGACAATTTAATATTTCTCAGGTGATTTTCTTTTGCCTGATCTTCCATTCCTACAAGTGTCTCAGTGGCCCAAGCACTCATCCTGTCATAAGCAGCAACATCAGGTGGCTCCACACACCGTGCCAGATGTTCAAACAATAGCTGTTATAAATACCTAATTTCCTAGCAGCCTACTCAAGTTTTTATCATTATAAACACTAAATATATAGTGAAATGCTCTCAGAGTCTTCTTTTCCATGAAAAACTTTCACTATATCAGCATTAGCGGCTTTGCTCTTGATTTGTGTCTTAACCATGAGAAAAAAACATCACAGATGCAGAGTGTATTGTACTAAGAACATATGCATGCTTTTAAATCACTTTTATCTTACTTTTTACTAATGTAATCCTGAAATGTAAAATATGTTCTTTTTGCATTCACTATTATAGGCAGAACAGATGGTGAAAGGCTTAGATTAAAGTAATACAGCATGTCCATTAAAATAACCCCCACTGCTGGTGACTCTTCACCAGATCAGGAGTTATGTTTACTATAAAGAGAGTGTTTTGCTTTTCTTTTGAATACAGGGGAAGTCACCAAAGCTTTAGGCTACAGGAAGAAAAAAAAAACCAACAATGGCTGACTAGAATTCAGCCTGATTCTGTTCTCTTAACCCCGTTGAGTGATACACCCAAATTGAGGTGGATTGCAGAATTAATCCAGATTATTGTATAAAGGAGCTAAAAAATCAATTTACCTCCAAAATCAGGTGCATCAATATACACCTACTAAAGAAACATCTTACCTTCAAAAGTTCATGCATGCTATAACATGTAACACCAAAGCCTCCATCCAACAGCTCTTGTGTACATCCTTACTTGTATGTCTGTGTTCATTTTATATTATATATATAAACTGCATCCAAGAATTAAGATGATATATGAAGTAATATATATTTATCCAGATCTGACCATAAAACATTTCCATTAGAGGCAGACAACAGACAATTTCAAGTATTTTCTTTAAACAATCATCATTAATGGGAGATTAAACTCCAAAGCAGTTTTTCAGACAATCACAATTAAAAAGTTTTTCCAATCTTGTTGCTATTTCCTGTGTACATAATAGATGAGGTCTAGAGCTAGCTTTTGGAAACACAAAATATATGAGATCCAGGGCTAGATTTTGGGACCACCTCACAAGCTTTGTTATTATGGGGAAAGACTATAGACATCTTTTAACTAAATTGCTATTTCCTTTTTCGGCAAATCTCTATCAAGTCTTCATCTCTCCTAGATTTTTTTTGCCTCCCCTTCCAACTCTCCACCAGTCCAGTAGGACAGGACTAGAAGAGCACCATTCAAAGTGTCTGAGCAAATTCTACAGCTGTGTCATGAATTTTGGGTTGCTCTCCTCTCTGCTCACCCTTCTCCTCCCTAGGACTGATTTCACAGATCCCACTAGCCCACAGTATTAACGTCAGTCAGTGTTAATCAGATGCTGATTAATGCCTATAATTCAGTGAACTGAGTTTGTCCCCATAGAGTCTACAAGCACCATATTACACTATGTCTGCTTTTGCATAATATTTGAGGAGAAAAACATTATCACTGTCTTAAGTGACCAAAACATCCACCTTTTGCCCTAATAGAAAACATTCAGCTTAAATTTATTAACATGGTTTTAATGCAGTTCACACCTAATGCCTATCCTATGGGCACACAGCTGGCAAGGGAGAGGACTCTCAGTCATCACCCAATAAAGCATGTGATACCCCTTTTTCTTCAAGAGTGAAGAAAAGCAAATAGTAAGTGGAACAGAAAAAAAAAAAAGGAAAAAAGGTATGTACATTTAAAATCTCCTAAGTGCCCTTAACTTTAATTGCCCACTGCCATTATTTCACTAATAAACTTCCTGCTTCCTTCCTCCACCAAAACCCAGGCTTCTGTGTAAGCCAAAACTCATGACCTCACTTTGCAGCCTTGGCTTTTGAGTCACACTCTAATTCTCCATAACTGACTGGCAAATTATGTGGGCTGGAGACAGAGGGACACGGGCCGTTGCACCTGCTGCATGTTCTTCACAACAGCTTTTCTTAGTCTTTCAACAGTTTATTCAGTGGTGGAGAAGGATGACAGGGATACAAAGCCAAGCTGCCCGGCATTGCTTGTGGTGATGTGCTGCAATGAACGGTATGACCATTTTTCAAGATATTGGCAACTAGTGCAGCTGCTTCTTTTTGAACGATGAAATCTGCAACTTTACTACCAGGCAGCCGGTAATGAGAATGCAAAATGAAACTGAAGACTAAACATCCTGTGCTTTCAGGCAATAATTCCTGATAAACCAACAGTCTCAATGGTGCGCTGCTAGTTCAGGACTTTTTCTGGTGACAGAGATAACAAGGAGGTACTAATGAACGTCAAACTTTCAGAAAGCAATTCAATGTGGGAGGATAACAGGATAACACCTCTCCAGCCTGTCTAGGTGACTCCAGATAGCACCCTTGTCCAGCAGGGTATTGACGGTTCGCCCCAGTCTGGTGCTATGTCCAGACACAGAAAGTACAAAGGAGTGATGTGTCAAAGTTCTTTACTGAGATAGGTCTTCTTCTCACTGAAAAGTCTTTACATCTTGAGAGCAGGGTGTGAGGAGTTTCAAACACAAGCAGCTTCATATTATGAGTTGGGATTGTCCTGCTAGCAAATGAGAACTTCTGGAAGGACTGTGTAAGGGTAATATGAAGGGTAATCGCAGTAAATCAAAGATAGTAATCTTAAAAATCTAATTTAGAATTAATTGTAGGTATTTTTCCTGATTCTTTAAAGCAGTTTTATTACAATTATTTAGTGTAGTGCATTCAAGAGGAAGACTCTTTTTTTAACAACCCACAGAAATGCATATAAGCAAATGATTAAACAACAAGAGCCATAACAACCCCTGGCAAAATTAGATTCATAAAATTAAGAAATCTTGGTGCTCAGTTAATATTTCTTGTGCTAGAAGCTAGAATTTAACTGAAATTCTTACCCTTGGTAGTTTTGAGGGAGGAAAAACAAACAAACAAACAAGGAAGCTATGTAGACACTTGGGCTCACATTGAACACTCCTAGAGGTCAGTTTAGAAAACTGTGCCTACTGAGTTTCACTGCTACAGTGAAACTGTAGCCATCAAGGTCATTATTGGTTAAGTATTGACCTAGACTCTTTAAAAAAACATAGCTCTTCAATGTTACATCATGAGGATACACATTTATATCCACTGTGTGGTGGCATAAGGAAAGCAAGACTTGCATCATTATTTAGTAAACATAATGGTTATTTCAGCAAACAGATTTAGTTGAGCCAAAGGGTTGACAGTGTAAGTATGCAAGTTGCAGTGGCATTGTCTGCAGAAATCAGTTGCATAAATGTTTTAGGGAAGCTCTAGTTCAGAGACCAAATCAAGTTTGCCCCATTCTCCAAGCAGAGACACATTCCGTACACATTAGGCCTGAAAATTAAATCTGGGAAATTAAAGTCAACTGATGCCAATATCCACCTCCTAGTGCTTTCTCACTTTCAAAGCTTTGTACATAGAAAAGCTTTCTTGTTCCAGCTCAGCAAGTTGGCTTGCTGCTTTCCCTCCTCAAAACTCACTCCTCCTGACTATGATTTCAGTGTTAAACTACTGTCAAACATCTAGCAGCTTTCTAGATATGTTGGAATTATTAAAAAGTAAGTAAGAAAAAGCAAGCTTTCTCAAAAGGCAAAACTCACAATCCTCTCAAACCAAATATTTCGAAACCAACGTTTTCACTTGTCCTTCTGTCCGCTCCTCATTAACTCTGAGGCCTGCACTGTTAGTGTTGTTGATGATTTATCATGCATGCTGAATCATAAATGTTTCCAGCCTCTTAGAAACAGTTTAAAGAAACATATTCCTGTCTCAAGACCTTATAATCTGTCATCCTTTATTCCCTTTGAGAAACACGTTCTTTGGCCCATTCTAATTACTTGGGTAAAACAGCAGTCAAAAATCAAGATATTAAAAAAGATTTAATTTTGGTTTTCAAAGACAGCTACCTGTGGGTATGGTGATGTCCTTGATTTTGTCTTTGTGCTTGAGAGGCGAGATTTGCTTCCCTTTCTATTATCTGTTATGGTTGGAGTTGAATTTGCGTATGAGAATGCCGGCTTGGTAGCAGTGACCTGATCCAGGGAGAGCTGTAGTCCTTTATATTCAGTATCCCTGTATAAAAGGCAAAAGTGAAAAAAAACCTCATTTCATATCTTAATGGGAAACATTCCTTCCTTCTTAGTGGGGGGTGGAAACAAAAGATATTTCTAAGGAAAAAGAATAAAACCATCCAGGACAAGCCAGTATATTCCCCTAAAACATTTAAGTAGCATAGCTTACTAAACGATAGCACTATTTTTATACTGCAAATACGATTGCTTTTTGCATCCAACTGTTATCATCCTGATCTACTTTCTTCAGTAATAAAAAACAACAGGATGGAAGTTTCTGAGATGTATATTACAGTTCTGCACTGGTCACATAGCTAGGTAGTAAATAGGATACATTACCCTCAAAACTCTTGTGCAGTTACAAACTTACCACACGTATATATGTGTGTGGGACAAGTTCATGCATGTCTGGAGGTGCACGTAACAGCCTAAATAGATGACTAAATAAATTAAACAAATTAGTTTTTTATGGAAAACACTTTATCTTTAAGGTTATATTTTTCATTGCTCACAAGGTTTCAAACAATTGGTGCAAATGTTTGAATTTTTCTTCTTCTGAGTCTTGTGAGTGTTTATTCCTCTGGTTGAAGTTTCTTGTACTGAGTTTACCAGTCAGACAAAACAGCTAAATAAATACAAATCTTGTGATTTAAATGGTCTGTCACCTACTCACAAAATACTAGAGTTTTTCCATGGGGACTTAGATATAACAGCAGTTTGTGAGGGTCAGTGTTAGTGCCTTCAAACTTTCTAATAAATACATAAAAGTAAGGAAAACTGGCATTGCTCACAATGTCTTTCTAAGCATAACGAGGGCATATGATTGGACTGCACCCCTCTGCACACATCTGCATGTCTGCTGATACCCGAGGGAGTAAGAAATGTAGCTTTCATGTAGTCATACGGAACCTATTCTGACAATGATTTATTAAAAGAGATCCAAGCAGGAGTTTTTTCCTGGCCTACCTACCTGGAGGAAAAGAGGAAGAATTCATGGCTTTTCCCTTCCTTTGAAGAGAAGAAAGGAGAGCAAGGGAAGAATAACGCTTCTCTTACAGAGTCAAGGAGACAACATATTAATTCACATATTACTCCATGCTCCATCTAAAACCAGAGATTCATTCTTAATGAATTATACTAATAATAAATTGTCCACTCAGGTTTAACAACAGTATCTTGTTCTAAAATCACACATAGATTGATGTAAGCTCTGACAGTCTACCCTTTTTTAGAAAGGAAATGCACCACAACCTGACCATATCACAGATTAGTACACTGAAATGAAGGAACAGAAGGATAAACTTGATAAATCACTGATGAAATTTGATGAATCTTTGAACAGCCACAGATAAACCTGCAGAACAGACAAAATAATTTATGGCAGTTCTACAATATATTTTTTTGCACCTAACAAACAACAAACTTGTTGGTTGAAGATGCTTAGGTTTTTTGGCAATGCAGACAATGTGTATGTATCCACATATTTAGATATATAACACATGAAAACAAATCACTGACATTAGAACTATGCTGACTACACCGTTTCCAGTTCATAGCAGACAGAGACTGACCAAGTATAAATAAAGTTTTGTAATGTAAAATTACTTCTTAATGAGGTAATTACTTCAAATTTTGGTTGTAATAGAGATAGGTCTCTGCTATAATATTTGCATTTCAAAAACCCTGCCTGCAGTGAAAGCATCTCAGTATAGGGATTTGCTTTGGCCTATTTGACAGGTAAAACATATCCACATATTTTGAAACCATTAATCTTTCCCATGGTTACTCTCAGATTTTCCATTCAGACACCTTGACTTCACACACAAAGCTTCTCTCTCCATAACTGAGTCCTACCAAATTATCTTTATGTTACATAAAATGTCAGAAACAAAAGATGACAACTACAAAAAGGCCATTGAGGCTCTGGAGTGTGTCCAGAGAAGAGCAACGAAGCTGGTGAAAGTTCTGGAGAACAGGTCCTATGAGGAGCAGCTGAGGGAGTTCGAATTGTTTAGTTTGGAGAAAAGGAGACTGAGATGAGACCTTATCGCTCTCTACAACTAACGGAAAGGAGGTTGTAGAGAGGTGGGTGTTGGTCTCTTCTTCCATGTAACTAGTGACAGGACAAGAGGAAATGGCTTCAAGTTGCACCAGAGGAGGTTTAGATTGGATATTTGGAAAAATCTCTTTACTGAAAGAGTGGCCAAATGCTGGAACAGGCTGTCCAGGGAGGTGGTGGAGTCACCATCACTGGAGGTGTTCAAGAAGCGTGTGGATGTGGCAGGTTTAGTGGACATGGTTTAGTGGACATGGTGGTGTTAGGTTGACAGTTGGACTTGATGAACTTAGAGGTCTCTTCCAACCTTAATGATTCTGTGATTCTGTAATTAATCTTCATATTTAACTACTACAGTAGCATGAGATATTATCAATAGACCCAGTCTCATCCTAATATACACATGTCCCCTGGCTAATAAATTATAAGAAAAGGAAGGGTTCTGTGGTCTCAGTGTCAGCTGCAGAAAGTGTTGCTTCCAGAAATGAAAATCAATTAAAACTAAGTAGATCAGTTGTTAGGGATATAAGGAGGTTCTGTTTCATTTTTTATATAACCATAGAATCATTTGGTTGCAAAACACCTTTAAGATCATCAAATCCAACCATAAGCTGTCCACTACTAAACAATTTCCCTAAGCACCTTATCTACCTGTCTTTTAAATATCTCTAGGGATGGTGACTCTATCATTTCCCTGGGCAGCCCACTCCAGTGCCTGATAACTGTTTCAGTGAAGAAATTTTTCCTGATATCCAATCTAAACATACCCTAGCACAACTTGTGGCCATTTCCTCTCATCCTGTCACTTGTTACTTGGGAGAAGAGACCAACTCCCATCTCACTAAAACCTCCTTTCAGGTAGTTGTAGAGGGTGATAAGGTCTCCCTTCAGTATCCTCTTCTCCTGGCTAACCAGCCTCAGTTCACAGAATCACAGAATCACAGAACATTAGGGATTGGAAGGGACCTCAAAAGATCATCTAGTCCAATCCCCCTGCCGGAGCAGGAACACCTAGATGAGGTTGCACAGGAAGGAGTTCCCTCAACCACTCCTCATAAGACCTGCCCTCTAGATTCTTCAACAGCTTCACTGCTTTTCATTGAATGTGCTCCAGTGCCTCAATGTCCTTATTGTAGTGAGGGACCCAAAACTGAACACAGTATTCGAGATGCAGCCTCACCAGGGCTGAGTACAGGGAACAATCACTGCCCTAGTCCCACTGGCCACGCTATTTCTGATACAAGCCAGAATGCTATGAGCACACGGCCAGCTCATATTCAGCCAACTGTCAAACAGTACCCCCAGGTTCTTTTCTGCGCAGCAGCTCTCCAGCCACTCTTCCCCAGGCCTGTAGTGCTGCATGGGGTTGTTGTGACCCAAGTGCAGGACCCAGCACTTGGCCTTGTGGAACCTCATACAATTGGCCACAGCCCATTGATCCAGCCTATCCAGGTCTCTCTGTAGAGCTTTCCTACCCTCAAGCAGATGAACACTTCCATTCAGCTTGGTGTCATCTGCAAACTTACTGAACTGCACTTGATCCGTTTGACCAGATCATTGATAAAGGTGTTAAACAGAACTGGTCCTAACACTGAGCCCTGAGGAACACCACTTGTCACGAGCCTCCAACTGAATTTAGCTCCATTCACCACCACTCTTGGCCCCAGCCATCTAGCCAGTTTTTTACCCAGCAGCCTACCAACCCTTTTGCCTCCCTTTTTGCTGGAGAGCCCATAGCTCTGTGCTTCTGCCATTACCTTCCCACCTCTGGAGCATGTCACCCTGTAACAGTCTGCTGCTTTCTCATGATACTGGAAGAGTTTTAAAAAACTGGATTAAACATCACTCCAGTATTCAGACCACAGACTGAATTTGAAAGACTTCTTTCCTGCTATTACAGTCTGTGTATGGGCGAAGCATTCAAATCATAGAGGTCACGGAAATCTAAAAGAAATAAAAACAGGCAAACCAGGCTGCCCAAAACATGGCATGCCATTATATGTTACTTTTCTTAGTCCTTGGTATTGTTATGGTGAGGAGTCACCCTCCCAGACCACACATTGGAACGAACACCACAAGACGGTATTTGCAGTCAATTGCTCAGATGGTAATGTCATTTAAAAAAGGATAAGAAGAAAACTCTCTGAAGTTCTTGCTGACAAAAGCAAAGTCTACCCTTAGAAAAAGGACACATTTGCACTCTCCTTGCAGATGAAACACCTGGAACTTTTTGCATCACCGAGGTGTGATTCAATACCATCTCAACCCTATCCTAGCACAGCTGCCATTCAGAAGAGCCAAGGTAGACACCAGAACACCAATAGTAACAGGCAAATAAAAGTACCAGAAGTTTAGGAAAAAAAATTAAAAAGAAGGAAAGAAAACGTGGAGAAAGGGTCCTGTGGTCTCAGTGTCAGATGCAAAAGATATTCCACCAAGAAATGAAAATGTTCTAGTATATCCATATGCACTGTGAGGCAAAGGAGTAGACGAACCAGGGCTTCTAGTGGTACACAAATTACAGATGGAAATTCTGATAACTTCCTAGAGGAATTTCTAAAACTTCTACCACCCATGGAACTGTAATCTCCAGATTCCTGTTCTCAGACATCTGAATCCTCTATTACACAGTCTAGCAACAGAGTAGTACTGCTTCTTATGTTCTACATGTAATTCAAAAAAAGGTGGTGGATACAAGCCTCTTCCTCCAAGGTCCTCACCTTCAGGATCCCACAGGGATCCATACAATCTACATCTATCTACATAAGACTGCTGAGAGAGAGAGTGATATGGCATGTGTTTGATTGCTAACAGTATGTTGCTGACAATCGACTATTTATCTCATTTTCTGATGCAACTATCATCACTACAAACATCAGAATAACTACAGGAAATTAGCTCTTAAATGAAGAACAGATGGATCAAACTGAAACCAGACAAGACCA